GACCTAATGTATTTGTAATATATGATACGTTATAACCAAAAGATAACACCGATGGTAAGATAATTGTAATAATATATGTAATATTAAAAATTTGAAATGCTATCATATAGATTGAACATGGACTTTTACGAAGTGTTGCTTTGCTGAATACGAGCCAACATAATATACAACCGATAAGACCTAAAGTTATAATAATTGGTCCACCATATTGAAACAGATATCTTTGCGTTTGTAATAAAGCTATTGTGAATGAGCTCAGCGCAAATGATGAAGACATGACTATAAGATTAAAAAATGAATAACCAACAGTTAATGAAAAATATATTTATCTATATTGTTTTCTGGAAAATAGAAAAAAAATCTATGGGCTAGACTAAGTCTTTCATTATTATGGTCATTAACTTTCGGTACTATTTGCATCTCTAAAGCTATATCTTATAATCTTGCTGTATTAGTGGTGTTTATAGACTTTAATTAGCGAGGAGAGATTCTTTTGCACACGAAGCAAATGATTGAATAGATATCAATAAAAAAAACAGTCCACAAATTTCTATGATATAAAGATAATTCAATACTAAAAATATGTAACGCAGATTTATATTTTACTCTAAATATTCTACAGTAGTGTCAAACTCGAAACTTGGATTCAACTATTCAACTATCTCTTCAACTATTCAACTATACAACTATTCAATTATTCAACTATTCAATTATTCAACCATTCAACTATTCAACTATTCAGTTATTCAATCATTCAACTATTCAACTATTCAATTATTCAACTATTCAACTATGCAACTATTCAGCTATTCAATTATTCTGGAGTCCACTCTTTTAGTAGCCACACACACACCCAAGAATTATAGAATTATCACAGAAAGAGAAAATATGCGGATTTTTTAGTACGAACGCTCAGAAGGCCTTCGGCCCTCCTCGCTACCGGTCTGTTTAGTCGAGCGCTCAGACGACCTCCGGCCGCCTTCGCTATCTACTTCCTCAATCTACGGGATCGCCTCTCCTGTTGGTCAGTAGCACAGCATGCTGCCAGGCAGCGCGTGGTATAGTTTTACGCCACGAAAGTAGATCTCAACTTTCCTCTAAGTCAAAGGACGTGTCGTCGAACACTTGCCGACGACAGGTATTACAAGCAATAAAGGCACAGCGAGTAGAGAAACGTTTTTATCTACACATATATATATAAACCAAGAACACAGCGAAATGCAGCATCCCTATCCATCGGACATTAGGGTTTCTGCCACAAAACCATCTTTTATTCCATTTAACACTAACCCAATTTTCCATCTAAATGTGTTAGAGAGCTCTGCTTAATATTTTCACCTATGCTTTCTCTCAAATACCACGTAACTTATCGCTACGTACACGATGCCTCCTCAACACCCTGCCCCGCACCCTCACACAGATTATACCCCCATCACCCTCCCCACTCAACACCCACCCCCACACTCTCAATAGTTGAATAATTGAATAGTTGAATAATTGAATAGTTGAATAGTCGAATAACTGAATAGTTGAATAATTGAATAGTTGAATAATTGAATAGTTGAATAGTCGAATAACTGAATAGTTGAATAATTGAATAGTTGAATACTTGAACTGTCAGTTGAGTTCAAGTTTCAAGTATAACACTTATGATATTCTATACATCAAAAGAAACAACAGTCAGGATCAAAGAAAAAAACATGCAAATATAAAATTTATCTGAGAACTAATAATTCTATCTATAATAAGACTCTGTAATACGTGACAAACAGAATGTTCTTAAAATAATCTCATTTTTCTTAGATATATTAATTTAACAAATTAACCCTTTGAGGCCGGAGTTTTTTTTTCTGTATTTCATCAAAAAGTCAATCAACATTTCTATTTTCTAAAAAAACTTCGTGAAAATGTGTGTTCAGAGATTTTTAAAATATCATAATCACCATGGTCCCTTAATGAGTCAACCGTCCCCGAAGGGTTAAAGTGCATATCCACCAAAATTGACATCATTATTATATAGTATATATTTGTAATTTTAATGACTGATTCTCTATATAAATTTCCTGTAATATACTCAATATCACAAGCGGTAAATTAATCATCTTAAAAAGATTTCTATCGATGAACAGTTGACTATTAGATAGAAAAGTCATACTATTTTATTACAGTGTGTCCCGAAAGTCACTTCCTAAAAGTTTCTAACGATATTTCCACTATTTTACTTCACTATATCGACTTTCTTTTTAAACGATAGAGAAATTCACAAAGTTTATTTTTATTTATATGGCTTTTATAAATACTGNTACAGCTGTCGTGAAAAAAACTTGCAGAGAATCTAAAATTTTGTATAACGGTTTTCTTACCGTTCGAAATCAATTACCGAAATCGTTTTTACCAGGGATATACAGTGTGTCCCGAAAGTCACTTCCTAAAAGTTTTTAACGATATTTTCACTATTTTACTTCACTATATCGACTTTGTTTTTTAAACGATAGAGAAATTCACAAAGTTTATTTTTATTTATATGGTTTTTATAAATACTGTTCAAAAGTATTACCTTCCAGCGAAATACAAAAATTCAATCTGTTGCCTATTCCGAGAAAAACATTATGCAAAGTTTTTTTTCGATTGATTGAATTTCTCGAGTGATTGAAGCTTTTAGTTCGTTCAGGTCTTTAATTCTTGTTCTATAAATATTTGTTCTGATGTATCACCATAGAAAAAAGTCCAAAGGTGATAAATCAGGTGATCGTGGAGCCCAGGAAATGGATCCACCTCTCCCAATCCACCAGTCAGCAAAACTATCATCCAACCATGAATTCATTATTCCCGAACCGCAAGATTATTACTCCATCTATGTAATAATCGATGTCCTCTTTCGTAGTTATTCGTACAGAGAGTAAACTAACTGTTTATCGAATCATGAAGAGCTGACTCGACTGTTATTCATTTCATAACCACACCAATGCCTATCGATTTACTGCTACGAATTGAAATTGTTCTGATGATGGCCAAATTAGAATCACCATCATCAGTTAGACGATATTTTCAGCGTGAAAATGTCTCTAATATTCCTTCAGAAAAATCTATTAAAGCTGTTTATGATAAATTCATCGAAACTGGTACCGTGTTTGATCGACAACGGTCAGGAAGACCATCCTTAATGACTGAAGAAAAGTTAGATGAAATTGAAGAAGTTCTATCAACTACTTCCATGGTCAGTGTTCGTGGTGTTTCTCAAAGTGTCAACCTATCCAAAACAGTCGTACATCGTGCAATGCGTGATGTATTAGGTTATAAACCATACAAAATGCATCGAACACAACAGCTATTTGACGAAGACAAAGACTTACGTGTTGTGATGGCTGAAATCTTGTTACCAATTATTGAAGATGAAAATAATGATGGTTTGATTTTTCTTTCTGATGACGCAACATTTCATGTTTCAGGTATGATACATAAACATAATTGTCGCATTTGGTCTCAAGATAATCTACATACAACCATGGAAGTTGCAATGAATTCACCAAAAGTTACAGTGTGGTGTGCAATGTCAAGCAAGATGATTATTGGACCTTATTTTTTCGATGAATCGACAGTTAACCAACATAACTATCTCGACATGCTGCAAAACTTCTTCTATCCATTCTTACAGAAGAAAAAATTGACTAGAAGAATCATTTTTCAACAAGATGGAGCACCAGCTCATTTTGCAAATTCAGTTCGTTCATGGTTGGATGATAGTTTTGATGACCGGTGGATTGGGAGAGGTGGATCCATTTCCTGGGCTCCACGGTCACCTAATTTATCACCTTTGGACTTTTTTCTATGGGGATACATCAGAACAAATATTTATAGAACAAGAATTAAAGACCTGAACGAACTAAAAGCTCGAATCACTCAAGAAATTCAATCAATCGAAAAAAAAACTTTCCATAATGTTTTTCTCGAAATAGGCAACAGATTCAATTTTTATATTTCGCTGGAAGGTAATACTTTTGAACAGTATTTATAAAAGCCATATAAATAAAAATAAACTTTGTGAATTTCTCTATCGTTTAAAAAGAAAGTCGATATAGTGAAGTAAAATAGTGGAAATATCGTTAGAAACTTTTAGGAAGTGATTTTCGGGACACACTGTATAATATTTAGATATCATTCGTACTAATAGATGAATGTATAGATATAGTACAAATGTGAAATATTCTTCATCGTCGTCATCGANTTTTGCTAAAACCAAAAAAGGTTCTGAAAATGGTACCGAAAAAAGGTTCAGTATGACCCGATTTTTTTTACAGAGTACAACTTATCTATCTAAAAGTTTTGTTTTGAGTGGGCTGATATAGTAGGTTCTAGCCGCTTGACTTTGTGATCGTTTTTTATTCGCACGTCGTGCATTACGATGGGAGAATGTAAACAAATTCTAAGATAGAAGCCAGATTAGTTTATCAAGGAGGGCATTATCTCATAAGGGTGTGGGGTGGGTGTCTGGACGTAGCTGACCGGAATCGATGATCGGCGGATCGGTTCCCTTATTAGAGGTTTTTATGTGGGTTAGGCGTTCAGTGCTTACCGATTGGTGTAGGATGGAATATGATGCTGAGGGGGATTTGGAATGGCTTGGAGTGGTGTCAGAAAACAGTTGAAATGGATAGATGTTCCAAGTTTTGTGCAACTGCATTGGCTAGAGTCAGATGTGACAAGTGTAACGCTAATTCATTGAGTTAAACCTATTCAATATATGCGAATTCGACAAAGACAAATAAATAAAAGTGCTACGAGTAAGTGATGATTGTTGTTGGTGTTCGTAGTATATTTGTATTAATGGTAAAAGTATTCTTTTTTTAGTTGAGTGTTTGTTCCAGTTGGACTCATGAATGGGAGTTAGAGATGCTTTTTCGCGCAGTTGCCTATTTCTGGATGGAATGGCGATTGGTCTCGTGGTAGTGAAGTTGATGGGCAGAAGTATGTATATGAGGATGAGGATGCCTGTAAAGTGGGATTGACTTAGGGCACATTAAGATTGCTGTTTGACGTTCTATATTTTTGACTCTTGTGTATGCTTCGTGGTGCATTCGATATGTTGTGTATGGTTGCGATGTTGTTCGATTGAAGTGGCCAATAGTGTGTGCCGGGTGGCACGGTGTGACCTCTCATGGTCACGGATGTGGGCGAGGGTCAAGGGCCAAGAGTGAAAGATAAAAAATCATTTTTCTCGAAATATTTGCCATTTGAAGGGTAGTCTTCTCCGATCGAACCTATGGTCGACGGAAGAGCA